AGAGCAGAAAACAGGGGACACGCGAAAAAGCGAGTAGTAACTCTTGCAGAGGGCGCAAGGGGCTTGTGTGTGTTGTTAAATAGAGTCTATGCAGGGAAGGGAAGCAAGAATAGGGGACTGGACTGAAATATACAGGACCCACGCCAAGAGTTTTCTTGGAAGGAGGTGACCCACGAGTGGGATTTCCTGAGAAGGAGACTCTGCAAGCCAGAAGAGGGGGTGCAATCTCATCTCAGTGGTGAGCTGGATGGAGAAGAATCCTGCCACCTCAGGTGGGGTTTTCCCGGGGTAGGAGAAGTAAGTTGGGGGCAGGGGTCATGGAGTAGGGCATCATGTGGCCACCCTGACCTCTGCTGCTGGTCCTAGAACCATGGAGCCCACTGAAATACCTGCTGTGTCCTGCTGCCCCTGTGACTCTATGGCTGGGAGTAAGATTGGAGCCCCGTGGGAGATTGATCCGAGCCCCAGAAGAGCTATGCGTCGCTGTGACTGCCGCTACGACTGTGGCACCTTTCACCAAATCCAGGACCAGGAGCCCTTCTGCCTCTTCCAGGCCCACGAGTGCCGCAAGTGTACCCTCTTCTCGTGAGTATGGCATCTCACAAGGGGAGGGAGCCCACCTCGTCTAAATGTGACGGGCTTTACGCCTGCAATCCCCACTTTAGGGAGCAGTGCAAGACCCTGCCTGCCGAGGATGCCTTGAAGATGGAGCTGGGGTCAAATCTAAAGAGCCAAGGACCGATAAGGAATGGGCTTGCCTCTTCCCACAGCTCACGGCCCTGTCCGAAGTTGACGGTCGAACCAGGAATCGTCAGTGAGTGTCTCGGGTCAGGGCGGGGGCCTGGGCTCGGGTGTGGGGAGCAGGCCACCACTCCTACCAGCCGACTGCAGTGTGGCCTTGAGCGGGTTACAGCTTGGGCCTTAGGTTCCCCGAAGGTATACTGTCATCAATATGATCTTTCAAGTGGTGGGGGGAAGGATAGACCTGGGGGGGTGGGGTCCATGAGGTCCACGGTGAGAGGAGACTTCAGACAGGGGGTGAAGTAGTGTGGAGTGGGGCCAGGGGACAAGGTTCAGCCAAGCCGTCCCTGGCCTCCCACAGCCGGGCAAAGGAGTGCCATGTGCCAAGTGTGAGACCCATCCCTGTGCAAACTCTGGGGAGGGAAGGGGCGCCTGGGACCCGTGGGGGTGCTGCTCACCTCAGCCAGTCCCCGCCCCTTTCCTCTCTGCCCCGAAGACCCCGGTTCATCTCCACCCTGCTGCAACTTGGCATGTGGCCTTGGGGAAAAGCACTTCTCCTCTCCGGGCCTCTGTTTTTCCTCAGCGGCAAAACGTAGGGTCGGACTGCCTGGTCTTCAGGGTCTTCCCAGCTCTGACATTCTGGGCTCTAGTCCACATCCCCAAACGTGCCCGCCTCTCCTCCCGGGTACCTGCTTCAGCCTGTGCTCTCTGCCCCTGCAGCCAAGCGCCCAAGCAGCGCTGCTGCTGAGTCTCTCCCCAAGATCTTTGTCTCTGCCCTGGATGCCAGCACCCTTGAAGAAGCAACGAACAATTTCTCTTTCCAAGAGGACCCACAGGCCCCCTTCCCTGCCCAGCACGTGAGTAGCGTGAGAAGGACCGTGGGGCTCACTGTGCATTGTGTTATTGGGGCCCGGTCGTGTGCTTGATACCATGGGAGATGGAAGGGGGAAGTGGAGGATGCAGGGGCAGGGGAGGGGGGAAGGGTCGGTGGTGGCTGAAGAGGAGAAGGAGGAGGTCGGGGGTGGTGGTGTGGGGTGGAAGAAGAGGAGCAGCAGGAGAAACAGAAGGGGGAAGGAGCGGGAAGTAAAGAGGTGGAGGAGCAGGCAGCACCTCAGTCTTACAGGCCAGGACGGGGCTCTCGCAGCTTTGCTGTTGCCCATTCGCGAGCCTCGGACAGGCGGCTCTATGCTCCCAAGCCCCCGTTATCCGGTGAGTGTACTGATAGGGGTCGCCATTCTGCACCTAAGGGGGCGGGGAACCACACGACTAGCACGAGGCCTGCCACGTAGCAGGCCTTCAACCCTGGAGACTGTTGTTCCTCGTGAAACAGATTGGTGGGGTAGCGGTTCCTGCTGAAAACGGGGTTCATGATGGTGAGGGCCCCAGAGGCCCCGGCGAGGGTTCAGAGGCCAGCAGAGAAAGCTTCCCGGAGATGGGCCAGGTTGGTCCTCCAGTGCCGTGGGATTGTGGGATATGGAGGTGAGGCCCAGTCCCTGGCGGGGAGGGTCTTCAGGTCTCTGCAGGCGCTTTGCAGGTTAAATCACAAACACCTGTGATTTCCCGTCATGCTCGCAGTTGCCCTAGGGGGTTTGCAAAGGTGGTTGGGCGTGGAAAAGAAACAGGCCAAGCCCAAAAGGGCCTTGTCCTAGCCACACACCTAGGCATTCGGACTCCCACATGCACATAGTGCAAAACCTGCCGCTCTCTGCCTCTGAGTGGTGTCGTGTCCACCGGAGGGTTTAATCCCGTGGCCTCTCCTTTCCTTGTCCTTAGACACCAACTCTGATCCTCCAGCCCCCTGCCACCCCTGACCCTTATCTACCGTAGCCGCGGGACCTGGGAAATAGTAGGGTTCAGAACCCTGGCAGGGGCCAAACTCAGAGAACAAGAAAGAGCAGAAGGCTTGGGGTGGGTGGGGGGCCCTCAGTGGAAGAGGAGGCTGAAGGGGTGCTCGTCCCATGAGGAGCGAGGTGTGTGTTCCAAGCGCCCGTCCTCCCACACCCTTTCCTTTGCAGGATCCCAAAGCTTCTGACCAGGACTCTGCCTCTTCAGAGTGGCAGCGGAAGCTGGAGGCAGCTGAGGCTCTGTTGTGTCTGAGAGCCTCTTTCCAGGCCCCTGCCGGCTCTGTCTCCTTGCTCGAGCCCTGTGTCGCACCAGGTATCCCTGTCCTTGGAAGGAGAACAGGTGTGAGGATAGTTGGGAAATGGGAGGGCCTCGTGGGAGTAGAGTAGAGACAAACTGGGAAGTCAGGGTCTGTGGGCTGAACCTCCTTGGGCCCTGGTACCCGAGCTCCTCCGCCTCAGGCGTGAGGTGGCCCTGGACAGTTGGTCGGCGAGCCATGAGTTTCCTGACAACCACTGTGCAGGGCCCTGGTGTCGAGAAACAGGGAAATGGGGAGTGGCAGGGCCTTGCCTAGGGCATGCAGTGTGCCAAGTAGAAGGACCGGATCTCCTGCCTCCCAGTCCAGAGCTTCCTACCCGGACTCCCTACAGCCTACCGTGGTCTGGGGAGGGAGTACACGGTTGAAAAGGGCCATTCTCTGGAAGGAGGACTAGTTCCTGCTTTCGGGGAGCTTCCATTCTACATGTGGAGCCTGGATGCCTTCACAAGTTGTGTTTTGTGTCTGAATGTGAGCAATGAGCCCAGAGAGAAAGGAGGGATAGACACCCGCGTAGGCTGAGAAGGAAGGCCGGCCCGCCCCCATCAGAACTGGCGGGTTGGGTAGAGTGTGCGAAGGAAGCAGCCACCCCGCAGGAACTTCCAGGACAGAGGGGATGAGGCCGGAGGGGCTGCCAATCGCACAGGTCCGGCGTGACAGCTCAGGAGACTAAACCAGTAACTGTGGGTGGCAAGGAGCCAGGGAATGTCCTAGCTGGGGAGGAGCATATTCAAAGACCACGCCCCCCTCCCCGAGTCTGACCAAAAGAAACGTGGTGGCTGTGACGGAGGGGATGCAGGAGCAAGGCCTGAGACTGGCAAATCAGCGAGGAAGATGTCTGTGCAGTAGTCCGGGTGACAAAGCCTCAATTAGGTGGAACAAAAAAAGAGTCGCTGGGGGGCGAGGGGGTATGTGAAATGGACATGACCTGGCACTGACCCCCTCTTTTCTGTCTACAGCTCCTGCTGGAGATAGAGAGCTCCAGCCTCCTAGTCCCTCTCTCAACCCATGCCAGCCAGCTCCGTTTCTCTGCCTATTGAACACCCGGGGTGCATCTCCCTGTTGAGCTAGAAGCCCAGAGCACACCGGGCTCCCTAGCATACTGCCTATTTTGTGTCCTACTTACGAGTTTGCAAAGTGTTTAAAGTCTAACATGTTTAACGTCTTTTTATTTTCTTTAAGCTTTCAGGTGCTTTTATAAGTTCTCAGATCCTTTTTATGATGTGGGGCAGTTCCTTGGCTGAAGGTGGATATCCTTTGCACCTCCATCCCCAACTCCTGTGGGTCCTGGGTCTTTTCTTGTTCTCGTGGAAAACAGGATTGTGCAGTCTAAGCCGGTCGATCTCTAAAGAGGGGTCTGTGTGAGTTCATCTGATCCTGTGTCACAGTTTTGCTTTGACTTGTGATTGCGAACATGCCGGCCGCTCCTGTATGTATCCACGCGTGTGAAGACAGGAGGATGTTTTCATTTTGTGTCTAGGTTTGTCGTGTGAGCAAATAATAAACCCTTGTTGTAAGGCACTGAGAGGCAGGAGGAGTTGTTTATTACCACAGTATCACAGAGACTATCCCGACTCCGGGAGACTCGTTCAGTTCACTGGGACTTCTTCACATGGCTGGAGAAGACAATGGCAGGGAAACACGGGGCGGGAGATTAATTCACTCGGCAAGTACGAGCCTCCCCTCTACCTGGCACAGGCAGTTTCCAGTTGTGCAGAGGGCCACAGATTGGAACGTATGCGGGACCGAGCACATCATATGAAAGAGTCCAGGGAGGCCAGATGGGCTCTGGCTACCGGGCAGTGCATGCTCCACCTAAGGGGACAGCTGCCAGCTGGCTCCGGCCACTGGTTGCCATGCAGGAATGTGGACTCGTCGTGGCCACATCTCCTGATTTGTCAAGGGAAGATGGAATTCTAGCTTTCTGTGTAAAATATGTCAACTTTAAAATGTTAGCTCAGGATTCCACTTTAAGCCCTATGTGCAGGCCAAACAAAACATCCAAGGAGGCCAACTTGGGCCAGTGGAATGCCAGCCTGATTATCGTCCAAGGTGTATTTTACAGCTGGGGAAACGGAAGCCAATCGGGACAAGAAGAACCACAGAGGGGGAAATGGCCTATGAGGCCCGGAGCCTACTTTTGAAGGACCCATGAAAAAAAAATCATCATTTACTTTACTTTGTGCCCACAGTAGGCTAAGTCCATCCAGCCTCACAGAAACTGTGTAAGATAAGCATTTTTGCCCCTCGGCCTATGAGGACACACGCCCAAGGAGTAAAAGTAATTTGCACGAGTGCTTTAGGGGAAGTTTATAGCCAAAGTTTGAGGGAGACCCCTTTCTCTTTGACAGGCCCTACATTCGCTGGTAGCTTACTTTCTGTTTTTTATAAAGCACTGAGTGAAAGGTTCACAACTTGAAGCAGCAGACGCCTAGTCAGAAGCGTCTCTCAAACGTAGTCCCCTCACTTTGCACTCAAGGCAGCATAATCCAGTAATCGATCAGATTAGTTACCCACACTTGTTTCTCAGTCGTCTACTGATGTCCCAGACCCGCGAAGAACCGGAGACCCCACTGGGAAGACAGGAAGCTCCATGGGACATGGCGGGTCACTGACACCTTCCCATCACGTTCCCTCCCTCCCTCCTTCCCTCCTTTCTTTTTTACAGAAGGTGGTGGGTGTGGATGACATCCAGTTCCAAGTCATCCTTTCCTGCTTGAAGCCTTGTGAGGGCAGGCTTCTTGCATTCCTTAGTGAGCACCAGGCAGGCGAGCTTGACATCTCACTCCGCACATCGTGGGAGACTGATGTCCACCTCATGCCTCCATTCCTTCCTGATGTGTTCCTTAAGTCAATGGTCCCCAAGCCCCTGCTCTCCGCGTAACAGATGAACAAGTCCACGCATTCATTGTTACCTGGGAAAGGACTAATATCCTGCTATGCAGTTGTGTCCTAGTCACGTCACGGTCCCACAGCGGAGTTGGAAAAAGAGAAAGTATATTTTGGGTTCAAGGATGCGGCACGAGAAGGAAAAGAGAAAGAAAAGTGGTGGAAACTGGGTCGAGCAGCCAGCCTCTTTCCCCGGCCCTTTCATTTTCTGAGTCCCACCTGCTCCTCCAGGCAGGACTTTTTTGACCTGATACTGGACACACACACACACACACACACACACACACGCTGCACAATAACTTTTTTAAAGTTTCGTGGTGGCATGGTACATACAGGCATCTTAGGACATCGTCACAAATGTTAAAATATCAAACCTTTTCTCTGAACTCTCCTTTGCCACGTGCTACTCCGGTTCACAGATTTAAACTGTCACTTAAACAGTGAGTTAGGTCTTGACTGTATGTGATGCCCCAACAGCATTGCTTAGATCTGAGGACATCTGCCACATCAGAGCATCTGCAAAGTGGATCAATCTCGTTTTCCTTTCATTGAGATAACATTAGTTTACCACACTGGTATAGGTTTTGGGTGTACAGCAACTGTACCCCCTCGGCAACTCTATCTTTCATCCCACGTCCACCACCAGCTCTCCGGTCGCCATCCACCACCAATCAATCGGCCCCCTCCACCTCTCCCCTCCCAGACTCCTTCCCCTCTGGCAACCACCATTCTGTTGTCAGACTCTAAGGGTTTGTCTTTGTTTGCGTGATTGCCATTTTCCCCTTTATTTTCCACAAATGAGTAAACCATACAGTTTTGTCTTTCTCCCACTGACTTATTTCACAGAGTGGATCAGTTTCAACCAGTGTTATGCAGGGAAATGTTTACCAGCATTTACCTCTGAGCAGGGGGACTGGGGGGGGGAGATTCTCTAGGTCGCAGCATTTGCCGATTTCAAGAGGTCAACATGATGTCAATTTGTGCAGAATTGGGAAGAGATGCATTTCCACCATTCAGATGCAACCAATTTACATAACCTCAAGAGCAAAGATAATAGCAAAATGTAGGAAAATAATCGGGATTGACAAATTCTACTTATGTATTATGTGTGTTTTCAATATAGCACAGGTAATGAAATTGTGACTTTACATAGTTTAGTTTAGGCTCTTCTTTGTCAGAAAGCAGTGGTAACAGCCCTTTCCGACCCCGCAGTGTTAGTGTGACCTACTTTGGGAAAGGTGCCCTTTAGGGCAAAGGGTTGAAAGTACTGTAGTCCTGGGGGTGCCTCTTACTGGAACATAAGAGCCAACTGTTAAATTTTCAGGAATTCTGTGAGCCAGCTCTTAAGCGTGGCAGTTATTACGAACTACGAAACTTTAAAAAAGTTATTGTGCAGCGTGTGTGTGTGTGTGTGGTGTGTGTGTGTGTGTGTGTGTGTCCAGTATCAGGTCAAAAAAGTCCTGCCTGGAGGAGCAGGTGGGACTCAGAAAATGAAAGGGCCGGGGAAAGAGGCTGGCTGCTCGACCCAGTTTCCACCACTTTTCTTTCTCTTTTCCTTCTCGTGCCGCATCCTTGAACCCAAAATATACTTTCTCTTTTTCCAACTCCGCTGTGGGACCGTGACGTGACTAGGACACAACTGCATAGCAGGATATTAGTCCTTTCCCAGGTAACAATGAATGCGTGGACTTGTTCATCTGTTACCGGGAGAGCAGGGGCTTGGGGACCATTGACTTAAGGAACACATCAGGGAAGGAATGGAGGCATGAGGTGGACATCAGTCTCCCACGATGTGCGGAGTGAGATGTCAAGCTCGCCTGCCTGGTGCTCACTAAGGAATGCAAGAAGCCTGCCCTCACAAGGCTTCAAGCAGGAAAGGATGACTTGGAACTGGATGTCATCCACACCCACCACCTTCTGTAAAAAAGAAAGGAGGGAAGGAGGGAGGGAGGGAACGTGATGGGAAGGTGTCAGTGACCCGCCATGTCCCATGGAGCTTCCTGTCTTCCCAGTGGGGTCTCCGGTTCTTCGCGGGTCTGGGACATCAGTAGACGACTGAGAAACAAGTGTGGGTAACTAATCTGATCGATTACTGGATTATGCTGCCTTGAGTGCAAAGTGAGGGGACTACGTTTGAGAGACGCTTCTGACTAGGCGTCTGCTGCTTCAAGTTGTGAACCTTTCACTCAGTGCTTTATAAAAAACAGAAAGTAAGCTACCAGCGAATGTAGGGCCTGTCAAAGAGAAAGGGGTCTCCCTCAACCTTTGGCTATAAACTTCCCCTAAAGCACTCGTGCAAATTACTTTTACTCCTTGGGCGTGTGTCCTCATAGGCCGAGGGGCAAAAATGCTTATCTTACACAGTTTCTGTGAGGCTGGATGGACTTAGCCTACTGTGGGCACAAAGTAAATGCTAATGATTTTTTTTTTTCATGGGTCCTTCAAAAGTAGGCTCCGGGCCTCATAGGCCATTTCCCCCTCTGTGGTTCTTCTTGTCCCGATTGGCTTCCGTTTCCCCAGCTGTAAAATACACCTTGGACGATAATCAGGCTGGCATTCCACTGGCCCAAGTTGGCCTCCTTGGATGTTTTGTTTGGCCTGCACATAGGGCTTAAAGTGGAATCCTGAGCTAACATTTTAAAGTTGACATATTTTACACAGAAAGCTAGAATTCCATCTTCCCTTGACAAATCAGGAGATGTGGCCACGACGAGTCCACATTCCTGCATGGCAACCAGTGGCCGGAGCCAGCTGGCAGCTGTCCCCTTAGGTGGAGCATGCACTGCCCGGTAGCCAGAGCCCATCTGGCCTCCTCTGGACTCTTTCATATGATGTGCTCGGTCCCGCATACGTTCCAATCTGTGGCCCTCTGCACAACTGGAAACTGCCTGTGCCAGGTAGAGGGGAGGCTCGTACTTGCCGAGTGAATTAATCTCCCGCCCCGTGTTTCCCTGCCATTGTCTTCTCCAGCCATGTGAAGAAGTCCCAGTGAACTGAACGAGTCTCCCGGAGTCGGGATAGTCTCTGTGATACTGTGGTAATAAACAACTCCTTCTGCCTCTCAGTGCCTTACAACAAGGGTTTATTATTTGCTCACACGACAAACCTAGACACAAAATGAAAACATCCTCCTGTCTTCACACGCGTGGATACATACAGGAGCGCGCCGGCATGTTCGCAATCACAAGTCAAAGCAAAACTGTGACACAGGATCAGATGAACTCACACAGACCCCTCTTTAGAGATCGACCGGCTTAGACTGCACAATCCTGTTTTCACGAGAGACAAGAAAAGACCCCAGGACCCACAGGAGTTGGGGATGGAGGTGCAAAGGATATCCACCTTCAGCCAAGGAACTGCCCCACATCATAAAAAGGATCTGAGAACTTATAAAAGCACCTGAAAGCTTAAAGAAAATAAAAAGACGTTAAACATGTTAGACTTTAAACACTTTGCAAACTCGTAAGTAGGACACAAAATAGGCAGTATGCTAGGGAGCCCGGTGTGCTCTGGGCTTCTAGCTCAACAGGGAGATGCACCCCGGGTGTTCAATAGGCAGAGAAACGGAGCTGGCTGGCATGGGTTGGAGAGAGGGACTAGGAGGCTGGAGCTCTCTATCTCCAGCAGGAGCTGTAGACAGAAAAGAGGGGGTCAGTGCCAGGTCATGTCCATTTCACATACCCCCTCGCCCCCCAGCGACTCTTTTTTTGTTCCACCTAATTGAGGCTTTGTCACCCGGACTACTGCACAGACATCTTCCTCGCTGATTTGCCAGTCTCAGGCCTTGCCTCCTGCATCCCCTCCGTCACAGCCACCACGTTTCTTTTGGTCAGACTCGGGGAGGGGGGCGTGGTCTTTGAATATGCTCCTCCCCAGCTAGGACATTCCCTGGCTCCTTGCCACCCACAGTTACTGGTTTAGTCTCCTGAGCCTGTCACGCCGGACCTGTGCGATTGGCAGCCCCTCCGGCCTCATCCCCTCTGTCCTGGAAGTTCCTGCGGGGTGGCTGCTTCCTTCGCACACTCTACCCAACCCGCCAGTTCTGATGGGGGCGGGCCGGCCTTCCTTCTCAGCCTACGCGGGTGTCTATCCCTCCTTTCTCTCTGGGCTCATTGCTCACATTCAGACACAAAACACAACTTGTGAAGGCATCCAGGCTCCACATGTAGAATGGAAGCTCCCCGAAAGCAGGAACTAGTCCTCCTTCCAGAGAATGGCCCTTTTCAACCGTGTACTCCCTCCCCAGACCACGGTAGGCTGTAGGGAGTCCGGGTAGGAAGCTCTGGACTGGGAGGCAGGAGATCCGGTCCTTCTACTTGGCACACTGCATGCCCTAGGCAAGGCCCTGCCACTCCCCATTTCCCTGTTTCTCGACACCAGGGCCCTGCACAGTGGTTGTCAGGAAACTCATGGCTCGCCGACCAACTGTCCAGGGCCACCTCACGCCTGAGGCGGAGGAGCTCGGGTACCAGGGCCCAAGGAGGTTCAGCCCACAGACCCTGACTTCCCAGTTTGTCTCTACTCTACTCCCCACGAGGCCCTCCCATTTCCCAACTATCCTCACACCCTGTTCTCCTTCCAAGGACAGGGATACCTGGTGCGACACAGGGCTCGAGCAAGGAGACAGAGCCGGCAGGGGCCTGGAAAGAGGCTCTCAGACACAACAGAGCCTCAGCTGCCTCCAGCTTCCGCTGCCACTCTGAAGAGGCAGAGTCCTGGTCAGAAGCTTTGGGATCCTGCAAAGGAAAGGGTGTGGGAGGACGGGCGCTTGGAACACACACCTCGCTCCTCATGGGACGAGCACCCCTTCAGCCTCCTCTTCCACTGAGGGCCCCCCACCCACCCCAAGGCCTTCTGCTCTTTCTTGTTCTCTGAGTTTGGCCCCTGCCAGGGCTCTGAACCCTACTATTTCCCCAGGTCCCGCGGCTACGGTAGATAAGGGTCAGGGGTGGCAGGGGGCTGGAGGATCAGAGTTGGTGTCTAAGGACAAGGAAAGGAGAGGCCACGGGATTAAACCCTCCGGTGGACACGAACCACTCATAGGCAGAGAGCGGCAGGGTTTTGCACTATGTGCATGTGGGAGTCCGAATGCCTAGGTGTTGTGGCTAGGACAAGGCCCTTTTTGGGCTTGGCCTGTTTTCTTTTCCACGCCCAACCACCTTTTGCAAACCCCCTAGGGCAACTGCGAGCATGACGGGAAATCACAGGTGTTTGTGATTTAACCTGCAAAGCGCCTGCAGAGACCTGAAGACCCTCCCCGCCCAGGGACTGGGCCTCACCTCCATATCCCACAATCCCACGGCACTTGGAGGACCAACCTGGCCCATCTCCGGGAAGCTTTCTCTGCTGGCCTCTGAACCCTCGCCGGGGCCTCTGGGGCCCTCACCATCATGAACCCCGTTTTCAGCAGGAACCGCTACCCCACCAATCTGTTTCACGAGGAACAACAGTCTCCAGGGTTGAAGGCCTGCTACGTGGCAGGCCTCGTGCTAGTCGTGTGGTTCCCCGCCCCCTTAGGTGCAGAATGGCGACCCCTATCAGTACACTCACCGGATAACGGGGGCTTGGGAGCATAGAGCCGCCTGTCCGAGGCTCGCGAATGGGCAACAGCAAAGCTGCGAGAGCCCCGTCCTGGCCTGTAAGACTGAGGTGCTGCCTGCTCCTCCACCTCCTTTACTTCCCGCTCCTTCCCCCTTCTGTTTCTCCTGCTGCTCCTCTTCTTCCACCCACACCACCACCCCCGACCTCCTCCTTCTCCTCTTCAGCCACCACCGACCCTTCCCCCCTCCCCTGCCCCTGCATCCTCCACTTCCCCCTTCCATCTCCCATGGTATCAAGCACACGACCGGGCCCCCAATAACACAATGCACAGTGAGCCCCACGGTCCTTCTCACGCTACTCACGTGCTGGGCAGGGAAGGGGGCCTGTGGGTCCTCTTGGAAAGAGAAATTGTTCGTTGCTTCTTCAAGGGTGCTGGCATCCAGGGCAGAGACAAAGATCTTGGGGAGAGACTCAGCAGCAGCGCTGCTTGGGCGCTTGGCTGCAGGGGCAGAGAGCACAGGCTGAAGGCAGGTACCAGGGAGGAGAGGCGGGCACGTTTGGGGATGTGGACTAGAGCCCAGAATGTCAGAGCTGGGAAGACCCTGAAGACCAGGCAGTCCGACCCTACGTTTTGCCGCTGAGGAAAAACAGAGGCCCGGAGAGGAGAAGTGCTTTTCCCCAAGGCCACATGCCAAGTTGCAGCAGGGTTGGAGATGGAACCGGGGTCTTCGGGGCAGAGAGGAAAGGGGCGGGGACTGGCTGAGGTGAGCAGCACCCCCACGGGTCCCAGGCGCCCCTTCCCTCCCCAGAGTTTGCACAGGGATGGGTCTCACACTTGGCACATGGCACTCCTTTGCCCGGCTGTGGGAGGCCAGGGACGGCTTGGCTGAACCTTGTCCCCTGGCCCCACTCCACACTACTTCACCCCCTGTCTGAAGTCTCCTCTCACCGTGGACCTCATGGACCCCACCCCCCCAGGTCTATCCTTCCCCCCACCACTTGAAAGATCATATTGATGACAGTATACCTTCGGGGAACCTAAGGCCCAAGCTGTAACCCGCTCAAGGCCACACTGCAGTCGGCTGGTAGGAGTGGTGGCCTGCTCCCCACACCCGAGCCCAGGCCCCCGCCCTGACCCGAGACACTCACTGACGATTCCTGGTTCGACCGTCAACTTCCGGACAGGGCCGTGAGCTGTGGGAGGAGAGGCAAGCCCATTCCTTATCGGTCCTTGGCTCTTTAGATTTGACCCCAGCTCCATCTTCAAGGCATCCTCGGCAGGCAGGGTCTTGCACTGCTCCCTAAAGTGGGGGATTGCAGGCGTAAAGCCCGTCACATTTAGACGAGGTGGGCTCCCTCCCCTTGTGAGATGCCATACTCACGAGAAGAGGGTACACTTGCGGCACTCGTGGGCCTGGAAGAGGCAGAAGGGCTCCTGGTCCTGGATTTGGTGAAAGGTGCCACAGTCGTAGCGGCAGTCACAGCGACGCATAGCTCTTCTGGGGCTCGGATCAATCTCCCACGGGGCTCCAATCTTACTCCCAGCCATAGAGTCACAGGGGCAGCAGGACACAGCAGGTATTTCAGTGGGCTCCATGGTTCTAGGACCAGCAGCAGAGGTCAGGGTGGCCACATGATGCCCCTACTCCATGACCCCCTGCCCCCAACTTACTTCTCCTACCCCGGGAAAACCCCACCTGAGGTGGCAGGATTCTTCTCCATCCAGCTCACCACTGAGATGAGATTGCACCCCCTCTTCTGGCTTGCAGAGTCTCCTTCTCAGGAAATCCCACTCGTGGGTCACCTCCTTCCAAGAAAACTCTTGGCGTGGGTCCTGTATATTTTCAGTCCAGTCCCCTATTCTTGCTTCCCTTCCCTGCATAGACTCTATTTTAACAAACACACACAAGCACCCTTGCGCCCTCTGCAAGAGTTACTACTCGCTTTTTCGCGTGTCCCCCTGTTTTCTGCTCTACGGTGCTCTTATTCCTGCCGTCCAGTTCGGCAATGATCTTCCTAACCTGATCTTGCCCCCCCTCCGCCCCGCCCCGCCCCGCGCGCTAAATTCTGTTACTAGTCTCACCTTTGCGCTACATTCAATTTTCCTCTCACACTCCGTTCTGATGTTTTTCTTTCGCAATTATTCTTTTGCTTCCCCTTTAAGCTGACACCATTTTGCCCCCCACGAATTCATTTTTTTCCCCTCTGTTGAATCCCAAGCCCTCGTCCCTCCTTCAATAACTTACAAAAACATTCTCATTCATCCCCCGATCAGTCGTTGAACAGACCGCTTCTCGAACTATGAAATGGCAGGCCCTGATCTAGCCCACGGGCAGCTTCTCACCGCGCTAGCAGTTGGAGTTGTTCTCTGCGCCAGCGGCTGCACTCTGCTTTCATCAAGCCCGTGGACTCCCTCCACGGCCTCCCAACAGCGTTCCGCGCTCGGCTCCACACGAAGCAGCATACCCTCCCACCTCGTGGGCGCGCGCCCCCACCCGTCCCCCTGCCCCGCCCGCCCCCCACACTCACACACACACACACACACACTCACACACACACACACACACACACACACAAGCCCATACCGCCCCCCCTTGCCACCACCGCACCACCTCCCCTCAGGCTACCCAAATTTCGCCGCCTCCCCCAACTCAGAATCGAAAGTATGGGCATGAGCCCTGGCCCACGGGCCAGAAGCCGGCAGTCAGGGGACTGAAAGAAGGGCTTCTCCCACGGGGGTTCCACTGAAGAGGGGCAGGGTGGGAGTGGAACCCTAGAGAGGGTGAGGCACCCCACTGAGGTGGAGGAGAGGAGGAGTTCGGGATCCCAGCAGGAGGGGTTGGTTAGGGCCGGGGAGGGGGTGAGGGGTGTGTGAGAGTGTGGGGAGATGAGGGGTAGGGGGCTGTTGGGGGTGGGGGTGGAGAAGAATAGCTGTGGAGAATGAGGATCTGGGTCCAGATGCTAACCTGTGATTGCCCAGCCGCCTGCAGGTTGGAATCAATCAGCTCCAAGAAGAGGCCTGAGGAAAATTCCAGCTCCTGCTCTCTTTCCCGCCCTTCCCCCAAAGGCCAATGAGCTTCCAGCGCCCCCTTCTGCAGCGCCCCCTTCTGCCTCCGACCCCTGAAGTCAGGACCAATGAGCCTCGCGCTCCGAGGAAGCACGCCCCCTGCAGCCCCGCCCCCTCGCCCGCCTGGCACTTCTCAGGCTGCCTCTGCCAGACCAGCCGGGATCCTGCTCCTCAGCGCAAGGGGGAGCGGTGTGCTCCTCAAGCCTGCTTGCCCCTCAAGCCTGTATTTCCCCTTTGCCTGTCAAGTATCGTCTGTGCCTCCTGCATTGCTAACTCACGTCCGTGCGATTCTGTCGTTTCCTTTGTGAAAATTAAGCTTGTGTTTTTAAGATGTAGCCACAGTCCTCCGGCAGACAGTCTCAATCAGGGGCACATTTTGCACCCTCGGGGTGGGGGGGATATTTGGCAGCGTCTGGAGTCATTTTGCTCCGTATTTGTGGGTGTCCGTTTCTCAGCTCCCTGTTGCGTTCCGCAAATCAATGTGTCTATTCCTGCCCCCACACCGCACCGTCTTGACGTGTGTCTCTCGATAATACGTCCTGCTCTCTGGTGGGCAAGACCTCACATCTTAGTCATCATCTCCAGGCGTGTCTTGGTCTCTTCGCCGTTCTTGGTCCTTTGCCCTTCCATGTAAATGTTAGGATGAGCACGTCAATTTCCCTGGATACGCATTTGCAATAGACTTGCACTGCGTTCTCATAGCACCCACGGATCAGTTAGGGGAGAAGTGGCTACCTCCACGACAGTCAGACTTCCTAGCCGCCAGCAGGGTCAGCTCGCCACGTACGTGGGTCTGGGCCCGCCCGTTCGCCTTGCATGTTAGCGTTTTGTTTGATCGTCAGGACATTCGGCTCTTGTACCCCTTTTACTGTATTCATCCCAAGATACTCTAGAGCGCTGTTGCTCTTGTACTTGCTTATCTGCTTAAAAGGACATTTTCTGCTTCTCTCTAATTTGGAGAAATCTTTTGACACTCAAAAAAAGTGTATTGATCTTAACGTCAGCCACCCCGCTAAGCCGTGATAGCCAATCATTTGTCATAGGTGTTCTGCAGTTTTCTGTGAATCTGTCAGAAATAGAATTACGGTTACCAATTTACAGGTTTATTCTTGGGCTGGCTAGGACACAACTACGAGGCTGAAGAGAGAAGGCAAAATCTTTCCTAATTTTAAATAGGAAGCTGCCAACCTTTCCCTCTTAAAGCCGGGTTGCTGTGTTTGGCCGTTTGCCTTCCTCCTTTCCCTCCTTTCCGATTGATCACTTTGTTTCTTTCTCCGGATCTCTTTCTTTCCCCTCGGCTCCCTCTCCCACCTTCCTGCCTCTGTCCATGATCAGATTAGATGGAGAACTTGCTTTGTACGCCGCCTCGCTCAGTAAGTTTCTCCTCAAGGTCATGAACAGATACTGAATTTCTCCCCCTTTTTGGAGTAACCTGTTGATGCCCTGGGAGTTATTTGCAGATTTCCCCCAGAAGTTTGTCTTAGAATCAAGAAACTTACCTTACACTCGAAAAGGACAAAAGGCATAAATGTGTGTCAGTGAGTGTCAAAAATCAAGCACACGCTTTCAGCTAGCACCCACAACAAGCGGCAGAATATTTAGCGGCAGTAAAACACAAGCCTCTCTCCTACCCCCTTCCATCTACTTTTTTTCTGATGTTAGACCTGCTTTGCTCTCCCAGGACAAACGTGACAGCCGGGGAGTTTTCGGTGGGCTGGCGTTTTGCTTAGGATCATTGGGGCGTCTGTTCACGAGCAAGTTGGACCTGATGCTTCTCTTTCTTACACTATCATTGCTGGTTAGGGAAAAGATTTTCTAGTCTCATAGACTGACTTGGGGGGAAATCCCCCTTTCCTACCCCCTACAAGTGTTTGTTTACCTGTTTTGAGATTTTATTAAAACTTGACCGCTAAGCAGCTGGGCTGTCTGTTTTTCTTTATTTAAAAAAAAAAAAAAAAAAAAAAAAACGCAGGGTGCATCATTTCAAGCCAATACATCTGGAGTTTGTATACAGACTCACTAGCCCTCTCCAGCTTCCAGACGGCGGAGCAGTGGTCCTGGAACAGTACCTTGCACCAGAATCACCGGGAGGGCTCATTAAGAACACAGATTGCTGTGCTCCACATCTATAGTCTCCATTTGAAAATCTGGGATGGCGGCCAGAGTGTGCTTTTCTGACAAGCGCCCTGGTGCTGCTGCTGCTGCTGCTGCCGCCGCCGCCGCACGCTCTGAGAACCCCTGTGCTCCAGAGGGCAGTGTAAGGAACCTGCAGTTATGCGTCCACAACAGCAGCCAGCCACAACTCAGGCCACCTCATTCCATAGCTGTCTTCTTCACACCCCCTCTTCCAGATTATTCTCAAGAAAATGGCAGACATCATCTTATTTGACTAGTAACTCTCAAATAGGGGTCATCTCTTTCCCTTAATTTTCTATTTTGCAAAGGCACAGAGCTGAAGAGGGAACTTTCTTTTACCCAGATTTGTATGATCTCATTGCTTCATCTCTCCTTTCTTCTTCTTTTTGATTTTCATATTTAAAGGGCAGGTTTATTAGGGAAGGGATAAAACAGTAAAGGACACTTGCATAGACGCAGGCGGGCAGGAAGAGCCGCCCCAGAAGGGACAGGTTTGCTGAGAGAGGCCTGCATGGTTGCAGGCGGGTCACGGGCAGGCAGGAAGGCTGCTGCCCAGCGGAGGGGGAGAGTTGGTGAAAAGAGACACCTGCATAGTCCCAGGTGGGCAGTGGGATTGCTGCTCTCCTTTCTTCTTTCTGCACAACCACTTAGCGGGGGCAAACATTTCGCCCAACTGTTAGTACTTCAGAACTTACCTCCTAAGAGCGGATCCTCTCCTGTCTAACCACGGTACTATTACCACGTTGAAAAAAGTTCGCAGTGGCACAGTAATAACACACAAGGCCAAGAACAGTCTGCGCTCCAATGCCCCCAATTGTGCCCATCATATCCTCTTGAGAGAGTTTTTGGACCCACCCACGTCACGTTCAGTTGTGCCCTTGTCTTCGGTGCCCTTCAGTCCCGAACCGTCCCTTCAGGACAAAGAGATTTCTCAACAGCCTAGGCCTGTTTGCTTGCAAAGCCTTCCACTGTAAGGGTTTGCCCTCTTGCTGGCAAGAATACTAAACAGGTGATGAGCGATCCTATTACCTCACATCTGGAAGCTCATAACGTCCGTTTGTCTAGCTGTCTCTCTGCTATTGGCATTTACTCAGTTCGATGACTTATTTAAGGTGCTGTTGGGCAGGTGAGGCCGTCGTAAAGGTAACCTTGTCCCTCTGGTTCATAATCAGTTTGTGGTGTGATATTTTCCTGCTATGTGGGTAGTCTGTTCTCTGAAAAAAAATTCATCTCTTGGCCCACATTTACATCCGGGCTTCTTGCATGATTTGGTTATTACTTTGTTGGTTGGAAGTGGTGATTTTCTGCCTCTCTCACTCCTTTCTACTTTTATTGGCAGACACTGTGCTGTAAGGAAGAGCATCCCACACCGCCCCCCTCCCCCCCTTGTCATTGTTGCCATGGCTGTCGTTTTCTACCATTAGAGAAAGAGGAAAAAGCCCTTTATTTCTTGTGTTCCAAGAAAAATAAGGAGAATCGAGCAGAAAACACCAAGTGAAATGTAAGCAAATGTAAGATTAATTTGGGAATTCCTTCCAGCAGACTAGACTGACAAAATCTGTTGCCTGAAATTAACCGTCCAACAACGATAACAATAAAACAACCATTTTAACCATTACTAACAAGGCCCAAAGTTATAAATTTGTCCAGCTATGAAATGATTTGGATCTTGCGATTTCCCCCACCCTCCTCTGTCCCTCCCCTGCTCTCTTCTTCCTCTCCCTTCTTCTCTCTCTACCTTCTCTGTCTCTCCTTCCTCTCTCTTTTACAGAAAAATGCCTGTTTCTCTCTCACTCTCTCTCTCTCTCTCTCTCTCTCTCTCTCTCTCTCTCTCTCTCTCACACACACACACACACAGATGCACAAATATTTCAGTTGGACACATGGTGTTTGAAAAAGTAATTTCAGTGATAGAATGTATGTTAAAGTACTAAGAGGCCATAGAGAACATTCTACAAAAAAGCAGATCCTCGACTAAGTCCTCCACACGACACAAGACCTTTCTAACAACAAGTCATTGACACAAACATCTGAAAGGGGGCCTCTTGGTGGCCTAAGGGTTCAGCCTCAGCACTTTCACCTCTCTGGCCTAAATTCAATCCCTCGCCCGGGAGCGAACCCACATGCCGCAGCAGACCTCTCCTGCCTGGCCCGC